GTTTTTGTTTTGTGTGTGTGTGTGTGTGTGTGTGTGGTTTTTAATTTTGGGGGGAGAGGTGATTTGCCATAGGATGCATGCACTCACTGAAGAGAGATGGTGACAGAGAGAGGGAAAGTGAGAAATCACACCCCAGAGAGATGACCATAATCCCTTCTCCTTCATTCTCTCAGGATTTGGGGCACACATGCACACAAATCTGGGTTTAAGTTTTAAGCTGCTGGGTCTGGGACTCCAACTGTGGTGGGCTACATGAGTATCCAGTGCTTTGAACACCACACTACCTACTGGCCCCTGTTTTGTTTTGATTTTAAAGAGGACAAGGGAACAGCTGATTTACAGTGTCTTTCAGTCTTGGATAACCAACTGTAATTTCTTTAGAGACTGGTATAGAGAGTGACTTACTTTCTACTGTCATCATTATTAAAACTGACCTTCTAGATCCACGTCTTTCTTTTTAATATCTTTTTCCTTAGAAAGATGTTTTTTTTTTTTTTGGAGAGGCTTTCGCTATAGGGTGTGTGCACTCACCAGACAGACAGAGAGAGACAGAGAGACAGAAAGCGAGAAATCACCCCCCAGGGGGGATGGTCACGCCGCAGTCCCTTCTCCTCCATTCTCTTCTCGGGATCTTGGGCACGCACGCACACGCGCCTGGCGTGAGTTTTAAGCCACCGGGTCCGGGACGCGAACCGCGGTCGACTATGTGGGTGTCCAGCAACATAGCCATTATGCTAACTGCTGGTTCCCTTTAGATAGATCTTTTAATAGCTGATTAAAATTTAAAAAGTATTTTATTTCCTTGACCTTCAGTACTTTTTATTTTATTTTGTAATATATTTTATTTTATTTTGTAAATATATTGTATTATATTTATTTGCTTTCATAGTGTAAAGCTTTTTTTGTTTTGTTTTGTTTTGGTTTTTGGTAAGGTAGGGGAGAATATGGTAAAAGGCAGAAGGGTGAATTGAAAAATTGAAAACTTTACATGGTTAATAGTGAATTGCACAGAAATTTAGTGGAAGACTGTAAGAGCTTAAAGAAACCTGGTGGATCTTGGAGGGAGGTAAAGAAAGGGGGTTTATTGGCTTTGCTAGAAAAAGTCCATGGTGGAAATCTGTAAAAGAGCTACTAACTTCTTTTATAGAATTTCCTGCCTGCCTTATGTAATATAATTTAGCCTATGAGATAAAGAATCTATTAAATTAGTCTTGAAGCCTTGAACAGATGAGGAGTGTAGGTTCAAGATAGGAAAGAACTAAAGAAGTGGGCTAGGTGAAGGATGTTATGCCATCAGGGACATTCAAGGGTCCCAGAGCTAGAACAAACAACAGTAATATTTACCAAGTGCTTACTCCATGTAAGCAAAAATAGAAGGAACAATTGGATAATGTACAAATAAAGCCAGCCTAGAGGGTTATGAAAAAGTTGATTTTTGTTTTGTTAGCATGACACTTTTTCATTTTAAGAAAATTTTGCTGTAGGGCATGTGTGCTCACCAGAGAGATGGAAAATGAGAAACTGCACTCCAGGGGATTGGCTATACCAAAGTCCCTTCTCCTCCACTCTCCTCTCGAGACTTTGGGCATGCATGCACACTTACCCAGCATGAGTTTTAAGCTGCCAGGTCTGGGACTTGAACCGTGGTTGACTACGTGGGAGTCCAGCAACTTAATCATTATGCCACCTGCAGGTCCCAACATGTCATGTTTAAATCCAAGTTGATTTCTTTCTTTTCTTTTCTTTTTAAAAAAAGATTTTTGCTATAGGGTGTGTGCACTTGCCAGAAACACAGAGAGACAGCAAGTGAGAAATCACCTCCCAGGGGATATGGCCACATCACAGTCTCTGCTCCTTCATTCTCCTGGGATCTTGGGCACACACACACATGTGCCTGGCGTGATTTTCAAGCTACCAGCTCCAGGAGTCAAGCCACAGTCAGCCATTTGGGAGTCCAGTGATGCTTCCATTAGGCCATCTACTGGTCCCCAGGCTGATTTCTTTACCATCAACAGCTGATGTTGAGATCAGCAGGTGACATAATGGTTACGTCACTAGACTCCCCTGTAGTAGACTTGTGTTCGAGTCCCGGACCCAGCATCTTAAAACTCAAGCCAGGTGAGTGTGTGTGTGTGTGTGTATGCCCAAAATCCTGAAAGGGGAATGGAAGAGAAAGAATTGCAGCATGTCCATCCCCCTTGGGGGGGGGTGATTTCTACTTTCTGTCTCTATCTCTCTGTCCCTCTGGTGAACACAGGCCCCTATAGCAAAAAAAAAAAAAGCAGTTGATGTTTGCTTATGGAATGCAAATTTATCTTAATGTCAGCCTTACTAATTTGAGGAAGAAAGCCTACTATAGATAAAATATATCATTCTAAAGCAAAATATCAGTTATTGGATGACTAGCTCTAAGAATTGTTTAACTAAGTAGGTCTAAGCCAATCATACAGTTTTGTAGCTCAGACTAGCACCACCAACACCAGGGCTGACCATGTCATGAGAACCCCTTTGAGAGGAATGTCAGGTCACAGCAGCCTGCATTAAGCAGAATTGATACAGTCACCTAAAATCCCTTATATATACTGTTGATTCATTTCTGCAAATGTGTTTATTTTCTACTTTTTAAAAATACATAATGAATATTGTGTGGAATTCACAGATGAATGACAAGGTCTTGGCCTGTTATTGGACAGGGGAACTGAACTGTGTTATGTGGAATACCCAGTTCTTTGGGTCTAGATCTCTAAAGTTAGAGACCTGCCCTGAGATACAGAATGAAAAACCACAAGCATATGAAGTAGGAAAAGATAAGTTTTTAATAGGAAAATGAAGATTTTTTTTTTAATAGAAAAGAAATACAATCCAAGCCAGAAAAGCATGTGAGCAGGAAACTACCAGAGAAGGACAGCTGCACTGGGACTTGGGTTAGGTGTTACTTTTTTTTTTCTTAAAGGACTTATTTATTTAATTGCATTTATTCATTCATTAATTTAAATTTGACCAGAGAGAAAGGAAAAGCAAGAAAGCAAGCCACCAAGTCCAGGGCTCGAACTATGGTTGGCCATGTGGGACTATCCAGCGCCTTAACCACCATGCCACCTGCTGATCCCAGGTGTTATTTTTATTGTGGAGTCTTGTCATGAATATTTAGGAGGGGAGATCTGTCATTGGAGCTGGGTATTTTGTTTAAATTTTTGGGCTTTTATCTGTGCTTGCCCACCCTCCTCAGGTAAGGAATCTGATTACGCAATTACCCATGCCCAGTGTGGACTTTGAAGGTTGAGTATCACATAGGGACATGTGGACAATTCTGCTCATATCAGTTTATTGCCCCAAGTGGAAAGTAAGATGTGATCAGGCATCCTGGTGAATTCCTGTGTGCATATGCGAAATGGCAGGAGAAGATAATAACATTTTTCTTTTTTTTTGGGGGGGGGGTTTTTTTTTTTTTTTTTTTGCTATAGGGCACGTGCACTCGGCAGAGAGACAGAGCCAGACAGAGAGACAGAAAGCGAGAAATAACCCCCCGGGGGGGTGGCCACACCGCAGTCCTTTCTTCTCCACTCTCCTCTTGGGATCTTGGGCACACACGCACACGCACCCGGCATAGTTTTAAGACACCGGGTCCAGGACTTGAACCACGGTCAACTACATGAGAGTTCAGCGACATAGCCATTATGCTAACTGCTGGTCCCTAGATAATAACCTTTCTTAAATTCTTTGAAGAAAGCTTAGGTAATATTTTTTATAGAAATTAAAAATGAGATCAGCATGCTGGAGAAGAGGAAGGAGTTTGTGGGAGGGAGTCCAGAATATCCCTTGGTAAGTTGTAATTGCTGAGGCAGATGTCCTTCTGCCTTTATCTCAGGACATGGACATTTCCCACTAAGCCAAGAGAATTTAGTATTGCAAGTGACTGTCTTATCTCAAGTCTCATATGCCAGTAGTATTTTCAGATGATAACAAATGGGAAGCACAGTTTTTTTTTGTTTGTTTGTTATTTTTTTTTGAGAGGTTTTCGCTGTAGGGCGTGTGTGCTCGCTAGACAGACAGAGAGAGACATAGAGACAGAAAGTGAGAAATCCCCCCCCCCCAGGGGGGATGTTCACGCCGCAATCCCTTCTCCTCCATTCTCCTCTCGGGATCTTGGGCACACATGCACACGCGCCTGGCGTGAGTTTTAAGCAACTGGGTCCAGGATGCAAACTGCGTGGGAGTCTAGTGACAGAGCCATTACGCTAACTGCTGGTTCCCAGGAAGCACAGTTTTTAAATGACAGAATCAGGTTATTTGAAGACTTTGGAAGGCTAGAATAATCAACTGGTTTAATTATCTAGAGAAATTTTATCATGAAAGACCTCACACATACAGACTTAGGGTAGGGGACCTAGACTATAACAGCAGTATGGGTATAAACATTGAAGATTATTTCAATGTATTGGGTCATCAGAATTATGACACATTTTTGCACAGAAAAATATGTCTTGACTTTTTCAACAACCCAATAGTATGAATCAGATGTCAAACAGCTAGCTACAGCATATTAACTGAAAGAGTTTAAAAGGGAAGTGTGCCCATAGTATTTCACTCGTCTCCATGTACAATTTTTTTAAAAAGAATTATGTATTTAATTCCATTCTTTTTTTTTTTCTTTAATTTGATCAGAGAGAGAGAGGGAAAGTGAGAAAGCAAGCCTCTAGGTCCAGGACTCGAACTGCAATTGACCGTGTGGGAATCCAGCGCCTTCAACCACCATGCCACCTGCTGCTCCCCCTTGTGTGCTACTCTTTAAAAACTGTGTAGGAAAACAGCCCATCCATAAGTGGCACAAGCAGGAGATCTCCACTGTGTGATGGCTGAGGCCACGTGGAAGGCCTTTGTTTGGTTCCTGGCTCAATCTAAATAGGCATAATGGTATACACCTTTGATTCTAACTAATTGGGAAGCTGGGAAATGAGTGAGGGTCATGATGTGGCAAGATTCTGTCAAAAATAACTTCTTGTGCTCCCTCTCTGGTAAAAAATAAAAATAAAAAAGAAATAAATAAATTGCATATATATTATATATATTTCATATATATATGAAATAAAACACTTTGAGAAGAGAAGACTCTACATGGTGAAGACTCTTGAGACTAAGTTAGAACTTGATCACCTTATAGAAATCTCAAGAGAAAGTTTAGCCATCTTTAGATATCTGATGTTCTATTATAGGAAATAGAAATTAATATGACTTGCTTTTAATAGCCTCAGAAAAAGAGTTGAGGTTAATGGGTATATTAAAGGAGTGCAGAGTTCACTTTAAAACATCTCATAACAGTCACCTGCAAATTGAGCTGACCCAGACAGCAGCAAGGTTCTTCAGGCAAAGACTGAAAATTGACCACCTTTTGAAGTATGTTGGTGGTCGTCCGGAAAGTTTGTTCTGTCCAGTATTTAAGATGTCATGATTCTTAGGGTCATTGTTGAGATTTTTCCCTCTTCTTTGGTGCTTTTTCTTGGCTTTGATTGATCTGTACATTTTTATGGAAAGTAGATCCAAATTTTATCACATATTTAAAGGGCTCTGTAACAAAAAAATTAACCATAATCTTAAAATAATTCTTTGCATTTCACCAAGGTCAGAAAGCTTCATGTGAGTTATATATTAAAAGGTTTGTATAATATTTTATTTTTAGTTCAATGACTTTCGTGTTTCTAAAAAAAAAAAGTGCTCTTGGAATGAGGACTTCTTTTTTTCCCTCTTTTTTTTTTTTGGAGAGATTTTCGCTGTAGGGCGCGTGTGCTCGCCAGACAGACAGAGAGAGAGACATAGAGACAGAAAGTGAGAAATCACCCCCCAGGGGGGATGGTCACGCCGCAATCCCTTCTCCTCCATTCTCCTCTTGGGATCTTGGGCACGCACGCACACGCGCCCGGCGTGAGTTTTTAAGCCACCGGGTCCGGGACACGAACCGCGGTCGACCACGTGGGAGTCCAGCGACACAGCCATTACACCAACTGCTGGTTCCCCTTTACCTCTTTATGTAAAAAAGAGGTCCTAATTTCTTTTGAGTGTAAGTTACCATTTATATTCATTCTTTCTTCAGTGGTTTGACTGTATTAATGTCCTGACAAGTCTTCAAGTTTCCTAAGCTGGGTTGTTTTAAGAGTGATTCAGGTATGAATATGAATCATTTCTGAGGGTACGTGGACCCCCTCAAGAAGGGAAGGTATCACTCTGGTTGAGAACTTAAGTAGACTTTGTATCTACTTTAATCCCAGCCTAAGCTTCTGACTAAGCTGACTCTGATAGGTAAGGACTACTTTCCAGTAGTTTCAGTTCTACAGTTTGGGATCAGGTCTAATTTGGAATGTTTAGGAAATGGTATTCTTTTGATCTTCTGTTTGCTGTATTTTTGCCATCCAAGGCAGACATACATACGCACAGCATAGCAACTGGAAGGAATTCATATGCTGTAATAAAATAATGTGAAAACAATTTTTAAAGTTTATTTCTTTCACAAGTGAGAAAAACAAACAGTACCCCAACAAGGTCCCACACCACAACACACCCCTAGTCCCAGCCAGCCTAGATCATAGGCCTGTGTGCATGTACCCACTGTACTCAGTTCCCAGGGGGTAAGCCCAGGATCCATCCCCATGAGAGTCCAGCTGTGTCACCACTGTGCCACTGTCTGGCCCATGTGAAAATACTTCAAGGCTATTACACTCAGTTTATATTCAGTGATTTTTTTCTGTTGTACATACATGTGGTAATTGTAGAAAATACAGATTGTAAAAATCAGAAGATTGGCTTAGTTGTAGTGGCGCATGCTGCTCAGGTGCTGTGCTTCACAGACTGAGGCTGCATGGAAGAACCAGTTCAGTTCCCTGTTCAGCTTAAAGGCTGAGTATGGTGGTGTGCCTGTTGTCCCAGCCAGCAATTTGAGGAGGCTAAGACAGGAGAATCGAAAGCTCAAAGCTGGCCTGGGTAACATAGCAAGACCTTGTCTAAAAGAGATGGGCTGACATCGTGAGTACACCTGTAGTCCCCACTGGGAGCTGAGGCAGGAGAATCATAACAGCAAGACTTTTTTTTTTTCTTTTTTAAAGGAATAAAAAGCCAGCAGGTGGCATTGAAGTTAAGGCTGCTGGATCTTATCAGTTCAAGTCCCAGACCCTGTGACTTGAAAAATCTCAGTGGACACGTGAGCATGTGTGCCTAAAATCCCAGGAGGAAAAAAAGATTGCAGCATGGCCATCTCCCCTGAAGAGTGATTTCTCCCTTTATCTCTTTCTCTCTCTATCCAGCAAGTGTACATGCTCTATAGCAAAGGAAAAAAAATCATATATTATCCTAGAGGCGGATTGCTGTAATAATCTTTAAAATGTGCAGTATTCAGTAATTAACAAGTGATCTCAAGTCTGCAACATAATTGTGGGGAGAGGGGGCATTTGTACCAGCCATGATCAAAAAAAGGACACACAGTCCTTTCACCTAAAAGAAACCATTTGAAGACTAGGGATTCACAGGCATATAATAGAATCTAATCAAAAGTAGTGATTCTCAGACTTTATGTATCAGAATCACATGGAAAAGCTTATTAAAAAAATTCAGACTTTGGGGTCCCACCCATAGGTCAGTATGTGGAGACCACACCAAGAATCTCAAAATTAGAATGAGTACATTAATAAAATCTTTCTAAACCTGAAGGAGTGGTATGCGGTATGTGATCCTAGCTAGACCTGGCAGCTGTCTTGTTTTACAGAACAAAAGCCCAGAATAGGAAAATATTTAGTGTGAGTTTGTCATTTACACCACTGCTAAAATAGCAACTGCAGTAATAATGATGGTAATTATTGTTATTATGATTGATAGTCATTTTAAATTAAGTAGTGCAGATACTTGGTTTTTTATTTATCTTTGAGTTTAAATTTTTTTTTTTAATTTTTTAGTCTGCTTTCTCCAATTTGTATTTTTCATGATAGTTTATATTATTTTAATTATGGTCTTCATTGACTGGGTTTGCACTTTATTTTTTCCATAAGTATATAAATAAGGGTAATCTATTAGTGACTGCAATACATACAATACCAGATACAGTCATTTTCCTGGTGACAGCTACAGAGTTATAGATATAAAATAAGAATTGGTCAAGATCTCTAGAAATCATTGAGCCCAATTTTCTGTCTTTAACAGCTGAATAACTGGCTGTGTCATTTGGGACAAATGTCTAAAATAAACTGTACATGGAAGGTGTGCAAAATTTGCTGTAATTAATTTCTGCTGAATTTTAGGTTAGGCCATAAAGAAACTAATCTCTGTAATTCTGGAGCTGTCTTCAGGTAGATGATTGTAGGAGTTGACTAGACTTGGAATAAGATCTGGCTGCTTAAGACACATAATTTCTTGGTTATCTGGATATGAACTTTCATTAATCCCTTTTCTATTTCCATGTAACTATAGCCTTATCAGAATCAATTACAGTGTATTTTTAATGTTTAGGAGGAAGTGTTGAAGTTGACTGAGAAATGTCTTAATAATGCCCTTGAAAGCCCAGGATTAAATGCCATGAGAGTTCCTCCTGACTTCAAGAGTAACATTTTGAAGGCTCAAGTAGAAGCAGTACATAAGGTAAGCTGCCTTTAATAGAGATTGTACTGGTAAAGTGAGAGGAGTGTGGGACTCGGGGCAGATGGTGGTGCAGCAGTAATGCAACTGGACTTATATGGGAGGGTTCTGGGTTTGCAGTCCAGGGTCTTCCTTATGGAAGGGTTCTGGGTTTGCAGTCCAGGGTCTTCCTTTCTGTGCCAGATGTGTGTGTGTGCTTGTGACCTAGGCAGGCTGAAAGTGGAGTGTGGATTTGAGACCCTGTTAGGTGATGCACCTCTCTCCCTCCCCCCACCCCTCTCTCTGTCATGGAAGAGATTAATAATAGGAGAAAGGGAGTTAGTGATTAGAGATAGAGTATAGCACTAAGTAATGTGCTCAAGGTGGTGAAGTGTGTTTCCCAGCACTAAATTATTTTTTTAATTAATTTATTTATTTGTACATTTTATCACATATCTTTACGGTATACATTTCTTTCCAACACAGATACCATGCATGTCAGTCAAGACAAGGATTTACTATATATATTATCACCAGCAAATAGCTTCTCATTTTTTGTCAATTAAGTATACTTTTACCTATTTTTTCCTTCCCCATTCCCCTCCCTCTCTTCCATATTAAACTTTTTTTATTCCCACATTTTGTTGATTCACAAAAGATCTTAAAGTATGGACAAAGCTAGAATCGAGTGATAAGTGTACTGTAATTTTATTCCAAAACATTTATTTTTCTCTTTCCTCCCCCTCTTGTACTAAAGAGAGGAATAAAGTAACTTATTTGCAAACAGTAACAAAAAATTAGGTTAATCTCAATTTGGTCTGTTATTTGCACAAAGTCCCATAAGAATTTGATTTCTGATACGAGGCAACAGATACTATTATATTATTGGACTTATACAAATAACCATTCTGCTACAAAATAAGAATGCTCACAAATATTTTCCAATTGCACAGGGGTCAGAAACAGAAAAGTTTAATTAAAAAAAAAAAATTTTTTTAACAAATTGCTAAGCCAGCAATTCAAAAGAAAACAAATCCTTAATTCTGGAAGACAAAGCATAGAAGAAAATCAGTAATGTTAAAAAAACTCAAAGATTTCTATTTCATCAGTACAGTCTCATGTAATCTCTCTTTTGTTGAATTTACGGTGTTACGGTGGTCTGACCTTTCCATTAATATTCAACAATATTATTGATATTTCAGAACTTGTCCCTACCATTAAGTTAGCCTTTTTCTTGGTCATTTTTTTGTTCTCTTATTTGTCTGTCTTAGTTTTCCTGTTATAGTACTCCTTCTCAAAGAGCTGGTTTGGTAAAATTTTGCAGGTTTTGTTTTATCTGAGAATGTTTTTATTTTCCTATATGAAGGGTAATCTTGCTGGATATAGTATTTTTGGTTGAAATTGTTTTTCACTGAACACTTTGAATATATTTTCTCATTGTTCTCATTGTTTCTGAGAGGTCTGATGTTAGCCTGATGGGATATCCTTTGAAAGTAATTTGACATTTTTCTCTTGCCAGTTTTAGTCTTTTATTTCTGTCTGTGGTTTTGGAGTATTGTTTATGCTTTCTGGGTAGCATCCAGATCCTATTCCAGGCCATCCCGCTCCCATATACCAATTTGTAAATAAGATTATACATCATGACCAAATAGGCTTTATTATTCAAAACTCATTATAGCTCACTATATTAAAAAAAATATATATATATATATAATTGTTTTGATTCATATAGAAAAGGTATTTGAAAAAATTTGGCTCCTGCTCATAATAAAAGCTATTAGCAAACTAGGAGGAGAATGGAACTTCATCAGCATCTATGAAAAAACAAAAACAAAAAAAACCCCTGCAGCTAACATCAGGCTTCATGGTCAAAGACACACTCACTGAAACAGCCAAAATGAAAGCCTGCCTTCCCTGTGTTAACAATAGAGCTCCTGCAATGTACATACATTGCTAGTAAGATTACAAAATGGTACAAGCACTTTAGAAAAAAAGTTTGGCAATGTATTAAACTTATACTTACCATGTTATGCAGCAGGTACACTCTTAAGATATTTAGCCAAGGGAATTTAAATAGTTTACAGAGATATTAGTATATGAAAGTTCTTAGCAGCTTTGTTCATAATAGATAAAATAGAAAGAACTCAAATTTCCATCAACAGATAAACAGATATTGCGGTATACCCATTCTGCAGTATGCTACTGAGCAAATAAGAGAGAATGAATTAGTGATACATGCAACAATATGAATGAACTTTAAAATCATCATCCTGCTCTCTCCAGCTACCCAAGATGCTCAGAGAAAGGCCATAAAGAATAAGGTATCCTTTAGCCTCTACTCTTATAAAGGAGCAGAAGACCAAGTAGATGGTAAATTCCCTACTTAGAAAAGTCCTTGGCATTGGACAGAACATCCAGCCCTAAAGGAACCTTACTTTGTCACATTGCTCTGTTACATCTGGCTGCAGCAGCAAAGACCTATCCTCTGTAAGTGACTGAAAGTGGCTCCAGCAATTAACCAGTTCATCTCAACCCTGGACCACCAAACAACTACTCAGTTGCTGAAGTTGGTTTGCAAATACAGACCAGAGACAAAGCAAGAGAAGAAAGAGACCGAGGCTCAGAAAAAGCTGCCAGCAAAGGGGAAATCCCCACTAAGATATTGTGGGGACTAAAAGCAGGAGTCAGTAGTGTCACCACCTTGATGGAGAATAAGACTCAGCTGGCGATGATTGTACATTCTATGGAACCCATCAAGCTGGTTGTCTCCCTGCCTTCCTGTATCATAAGATGGTGCTTCCCTGTGGCATTATCAAGGGGAAGGCTGGACTGGGACATCTAGTCCACAGGAAGACCTGCATCCTCATTGCACTGACAGATGAACTCAGAAGACAGGAGCTCTGGCTAAGCTAGTGGAAGCTATTAGGACCAGTTACAATGGCAGATGTGATGAGATCTGATGTTACTGGGGAGGCAGTGTCCTGGGTCCGAAAATCTGTGGTCCACATGGCCAAGTTGGAAAAGGCAAAAGCTAAAGAACTTGCCAATAAACTAGGTTAAATGTACACTATTGAACTGTCTGTACATCATTTTTTTTTAAATTGTCCTTCAAAAATGATTATACTGCTCTGAAGAGGCAGACATAAAAGATAGGCTATATATGATTCCAATTATATGAAGCCATAGAAAATATAGATCATAATTTTCTACAAGTAAGGATTTTTATTGGGATTATGTGGATAGCCGTGGGGGAATATTTAGGTGGGAGGTGTGTTAGTAGAAATGTTACATATGTTGCTTATGTGCCTGTATATATTTTTCATAATTCATTGAATTGTACATTTAAACTGGATGCATTCTATTGCATGTAAGTAAAATTCAATAAAGTTGAGAAAAAACTGGTCTCTTCAGATATTTTTGGGGGGATTTCTCCTAAAATATTTCTTAGAGAAAAACTAAAAACTGGATAGACAGCTTAACATGTTTCTTCTTTTTATCAGATTACAAACGAAGATAGCTCATTAAGTCATAAAAACGCCAGTGTTCAGGATGCTGCCATGAACAGGTACAGTTCAGATAGACTGAATTAGATTGATGTTTTTATCTTTTCCTGTTACTCTTTTTAATTGATGTTTTTTTCTCTCCACCAATCCATTGCCACATGGTTTTAGACTGTTTGAAAGATAACATAAATTAACTTCTTTATCCATTACAGAGCCACTTAGTCCCTAGTTTTAGATTTTTTGAAGATAGCCCCAGTTGGTCTCACTATGTTTCCATTCCTCTTCAGCTAAGTCAAACTATAGAGCAAAAACCACCTTTAAAGATATTTTTACAAGGTACTTCATGAGGCATGTATATTGGTTTTCTTGAGTGTAGTTGTTACCTTTCATTGTCACCCTGTTATATCCTGTCACTGTTCTTACACATTTACTCACCATGGGCTCTCACATTAACTAAACAAATTTCTTTGCTACTCCCTTCAGGTCTCTCCTGCCTCTCTTCCCTTTAATGAGTATTATTATGTCACTTGTCTCGTTAGGCTTGCATTCTCTGCCATATGCCCATATATGTTCATCACTGTTTATCCAATGTTTAGGGCTTAGTTGTTGTTAAGAAATGTTGAGTGAATGAATGATGTTTCTTTTCCCAATATTCACAACTTATCGGTGGATAAGTTTTTTGATTTTCTGATTGATTGCATGCAGTTACAGGTCCTGTAACTAATATAACAATTAAGCTCATGGTATGTTTTATATATAGGACTTTTATTTAGTTCATTACAAATGTACTGGCTGATGATCATGGTAAAAATGGAATTACAACTTAACTTTTTTTTTTGGGGGGGAGAGGTTTGGAATTACAACTTGACTTTTTTTTTGGGGGGGCGGGAGGTTTTTGCTATAGGGCTCATCCACTCACCAGAAAGCCAGAGAGAGACAGAAAGTTAGAAATCACCCCCGGGGGGGATGGCCACGCTGCAATCCCTTCTTCTCCAGTCTCCTCTTGGGCACTTATGCACATGTGTCCAAAATGAGTTTAAGCCACCAGGTCTAGGATGCGAACCACGATCGACTACATGGAAGTCTAGTGACATAGTCATTACACCAACTGCTATTCCCCCTTTTAATTAATTCTAATAAATGCTAGTACTAAGACTTTTAGTACTGTTAAATGGTGGTACTAAGAATTAGTACTATTGTTATTACCGATTTTTTTTTTTTTAGAATAATCTCAGTAGACATCTTTGCTTGCCAGGAAGCTGGTAATGGAGACTGGACTGGACCCCATGTTCATCAGTTTTGTTGAATTCTTCAAGCTGTAAAGAGCCTATGAGTATACACAGCTTACTTCCAGATTTATTTTTCCAAATAGCTGTTCATATTTTGAAAAAATTATTTCCCCCCAGGATTTAAAATATGTCCCTTGAAATATGCCAAGTTTGGGGCCAGTGCTGGATTCCCATGTGGCCAATCACAGTTTGAGTCCCGGACCTGGTGGCTTGCTTTTTGCTTTCCCACTTATCCTCTCTCTCTCTGTCTGGTCAAATTTAAAAATAATAATAAAATAATTTATAAAATAGTTTATCACAAGGATGGTAGAAAATTTTTTTAAAATGCCAAGTTTTTGCATAAATGTGAGTTTAATTTTGTACTTTTCCCATTTCTGTTAACCCATTTTTTACCTCCCCATACCACAGTATTTTTCTTCCTGTACCTCCTTTTTAAAAATGAAAATTTCAGTCATAGAGAAAACCATGGAGAATTATACGTACTTATGTAGCAAATATCAAACTTTGTCACATCTTAACATTTTATTGTTAGAGATTTAGACCATTTTTATGCATCTTTTTTTCATTGAGATGTGATTCACATGCCACAAAATTTACATACAATTCAGTGTTTTATAGTGTATTCACCAAGTCATGCAACTTCTACCACCATTCAATTCCAGAACATTCTCATCATCCCTACAAGAAGCACCTTATCCATTAGCAGCACTCCTCCTTTCTCCCTTGGTTCTAGCACCTGGCAACCACTAATGTACTTTCTATATCTATGGATTTACCTACTCTGGACAGTTCATGTAAATAGCATCATACAATATATAGCCTTTTGTGTCTGGCTTCTTTGATTCAACATAATGTTTTCAAGGTTCATCCATGTTGTAAAGTATATGGATATTTCACCCCTCTGCGCTTTTTATAAAAAATTTTTAAATTATTTTTTAATTGCCAGAGGGTGTGTATACTCACCAGAGAGAGTCAGAGACTGGGGTGTGACCATACCACAGTCGCTTCTCCAGTTCTCCATCCTGCTGGGATTTGGAGAGTGGATGCATGTGCACATGGCATGTTTTTTAGCATGTTGGTCATGTAGATTCCAGCTCCCTTAACCACTAGGCTATAGGGATGGCCCTTATATTTATCTTTTTTTTTGGAGAGGTTTTTGCTATAGGGCATGCGCACTCGCTGGGAAGATAGAGACAGACAGACAGAAAGTGAGAAATCACCCCCCAGGGGAGATGGTCACGCCACAGTCCGTTCTCCTCCGTTCTTCTCTTGGGATCTTGGGCATGCATGCACACGTGCCTGGCATAAGTTTAAGCCACCGGGTCTGAGACTCGAACCACGTTGACTACATGGGATTCCAGCGACATAGCCATTATGCCATCTACTGGTCTCATTATTCCTTCCTAAGCCCTTTGTTTAAAAATACCACCGAGAAGCCGGGTGGTGGCACAATTGGGCACACATGGGTTAAAGTCCCGGGTCTGTGTCTCAGGACATCCCTGAGCATACCAGGCAGCCATGTGCTCCTGATCCAGGCCAGCTGAGACTTGGTTGATTTTGGCATGAACACTCAGTTGGGAGTGGCGTTCTCTCTCTCTCTTTCTCTGTCTGTCTCTCTTTCTCATGGAAAAAAAATTTTTTTTTAAGAAAGAAACTACCTGTACCAGTATAGGTTCTCACGATGTGAATTTATGTTTTTCTTCCCAGTGTTGTGTTAAATGAGAATAACGCATCCCTCTCCAAAGAATGTCTTGGTCTGATACATACCACACCTGCAGACGATGATTCTGGTCTAAGGGTAAAAATACCTTTACTTCTTAAGTTTTTCCAAAAACAGCATTAAGTTGAATCGATGTTAATTCATTGAGTTGAAGAGTATAGTCAGATTTGGCGGCCACCTCTGTTCTCTATTTCTTATTAAGTTCTTTTTACCCTTCCTCTCCCCACCGTCTCCACACACTGCAGTAAAGAATTGTGTCTTCCATAAGGTGTTTCAAATAGTAATTAAACAAGTATTAATTGGCATTTATGGGGTGAGAGTCCACGTTGTATTTTTTGCAAACGGTGACACACCTGTAGATACAGAAGTATTTGAATTCAGGCATCTCCTGTCTCCTGTGCTGAATATTTTACCACTCTCATCTAGCTGAAAGTTAAGAGCAAGAACAATCTTAATTCTACCCAAGTTGTTGCAGTAAAAGAAGAGCTGTATGAAAAATTTCATATAGCTGACTTTATGTTCCTTCCCATGCAGAAGCAGAATCTTTAATAACCATTAACCCTGCGTGTCCCTGTTCGTTTAAAGGATAATACTATCCAGGCCTGGGTTGAATTAGAAATTTAGAGGATATGGAAAACACTGTTGATGACGGAGTCACTAACAAGATGCCTTATCTTCCATAGGATGCTACAGATGAATTGGAGGCTCTGCTCTTATCTCTAACTGAAAATCTAATTGATCACACAATCACACCTCAGGTAAACATGCTTTAAAACAGCAAGATGGAAAGGAATTTCTATTTTGAAAGATATTCCTGCTAGATTTCTGTTTTTGCCTTTTTAACAAGTTAGTACAACTTTTCATTCAATAAGAATTTATATTTTAGTAACCATGTAACATTACCTTTCTGTACTAAAATTCTACCATTTTGAAGTTGTATGTTTGAAATTGTTGCTATAAACTTATTTGTAGTTTGACACCATATTAAATAACATGAGAGAAAATGTGAGGATAAAACAGCTTCTTAAGAGTTAAGAAAGGGCCAGGCTTAGCATAGCAACTAAGCATGGTATATAAAGAACTGGATCCCATGTGACTGACTGAGGTTCAACTCTTGGCCCCACCTGCTTGAAAAACAAACCAAGCACATGTGCATGCCTGCCTCAGATCCTAATGGGATGGAAAAATGGAAGAAAGGGTATTGCATTATGACCATGCCCCAATGAGGGGTGCTTTCTCTTTCTCTCTCTCACTTTCTCCCTCTTTCTCTGTCTCCCTGATGAGCACAAGTGTTCTCTGGCAACAAAACAAAACAAATAAACAGAAAAAGTTAGGGCAATAAGGGCATACTTAATTTAAAACTTTTTTACAGAAGGGCGGAAGCATGAGAATGATCTGATATTTTTCTTATGAGAATGTCATTTCTCCAAAAAACACTTAGATATAGAAAAAGAATCTTTAAAAGTCAATATAACAAAGGACCTGTGAATCAGGAGTTTTAAGTGCTGCTTTCTTCATGTGCATGCATGGTAATTAGAGAATGACCTGTCTATAAACAGATGTCTTTTCTGTTTACTTTCCTTAGGGTGTTCTTTTCGATTAGTTACATCTCATTGTTCAGGATGCTACCAAGGCCGCGATGATTATTTGTAATTAATGAAATTTTAAAAATAGAACATTAAACTGATGATAAGGGGTGGGAAGTCTTGGCAAATAAACTGAAAGTAGCATAAGTAGGAAAAAGCAAGGCACTGAAAATGCCTGCATGAGTCTCATGGCTCCATAAACACACAGGTTTGGCCCTGGCATTCTTGAGTAATAAATCTGAGATTCTCAAATTATGATAGCTGCTCAGATGGTGAGGTACAGCATCCGTGTTGTAGAAGTCTTGACTTTAGAAGTCCATGCCATTCTAGGGAGACCCATTAAGAATTATTGCCCTCCCCACATAATCCATTTTATAATAAAAGAATATGTTATGAATATAATAAAAAAAAAAAGTCACTCTTCCCTAAAAGTAAATACACTTACAAAATTTATTTTAGGTCTCTTCAACATCCATGATCACTCCCCGGTGGATTGTGCCAGTAAGTTCATGATACTTGTCATTTTTCTTCTGCTTACCCTTTCAGAGTAAAGCTTATTTTTCCTTATAAACATGGGGAACTGAATTTAATTGCTTCAGATTAGTAGTTTAGATTTTCTTTCGAATGTGATTTAACTTCTCTGTTTAAGTGTAAGGATGCTGACAAAAATAAAAATCTGAGGCGAAGGATGGTTTAAAAAACAACCAAGGTCACCAAAATGACCCTCCTTTCTGTCTTACTCCTTTGTGAAACTGATGTGGACTTACGTGCTGACCACAGGTAGGTATGGCGGCCTCTGTGCTCACACGTGTTGTCTCCCCTCAGCAGAGCAGTGCCATAGCTAATGGACTCGCAGGATATGGAGCACCCTTGGCAGGGAAGGAGGGACATGGTAATGGAGATGGACTCTCCCCTATCTCTCCCCCAGCACCATTCTTGGTAGATGCTGTGACCAGGTGAGGAATTCGTTTCTCAATTGTAGTTAATCTGTTGGGAGAAAAAATACTAAAATCAGTTATATTTAAAACAACAATGTAAATTTTTCATTAATTGGACTAAATTAAAATTGGGTATTTTATTTATTATTTAGTGCTTTTTTCCCCTTGTCAGTAGCAATTTTCATTCTTTCCTTTTTCCTCTATTTTAATTTGCTATAGAGCACATGAACTTGCCAGAGGGAGATAGGGGTGGGGTGGGGTGGGGAGAAAAAGAGAGAGAATGACCACACTGCAATCCCTCCTCCTCCATTCTCCTCTTGGGATTTTGAGTATACACACACAAATGCCTGGTGTGAGTTTTAACCTGCTGGGTCCAGGACTTAAACCATGGTCAATCATGCCGTTGGCTGTGTGGGATTTAGCCACCATAACCACCATTCCACCACCTAACAATTGCAATATTCTGCAAAAATTTTTTGTTTTAAGAATTATTTTCTTTAACTTTATTTATTTTAATATGACCAGAGAGGGACAGAGTGGGGGTGAGGAATGAGAAAGCAAGCCACCAGGTCTTGGACTTGAACCAAGGTCAGCCATGTGGGAGTTTAGTGACCTTAACCACTACACCATCTGCCAGGCCCCAATTTTTGCCCCTTGATGTGTTTCTCAAGCCACCAGGTCTGGGATTCAAACCACAAAGACAGCCATGTGAGATCCAGCTGCCTTAACCACCATGCCACTCGCTGACCCCACAGTAGGGTCTTGATACTGCCATCCACCCTCAGCTTCAGCTATTCCTGAATTACAGGCACCCGTGTACCTGTCATACTCAGGGAGGTTTCCAGATGCAAACCTGGAACCTTCCTATGCGGGAATCCCTCACAGAGTATCCCATTTAACCATTGTGCCACTGTCTAGCCACTTTGATTTGTCTTAAAATCAGTTCATATCTTTTTTCATGCTTTACTCTTAGAGTTATGCCTATTATAATAGTGATAAATGGTGGTGCCCATCATACAGGTGAAGAGGCACAATATAAAAGTGAGGTGGGGGACCAGCAGTTAGCGTACTGGCTATGTTGCTGAACTCCCATGTAGTCGACCGTGGTTCGAGTCCCAGACCTGGTGGCTTAAACTCATGCCGGGCACGTGTGCGTGCATGCCCAAGATCCTGAGAGGAGAATGGAGAAGAAGCGATTGTGGTGTGGCCATCCCCTCTGAGGGGTGATTTCTCGCTTTCTATCTCTATGTCTCTGTCTGTCTGGCGAACGCACGCACCCTATAGCTAAATCCTCCAAAAAAAAAAAAAAAAAAAAAAACGTGAGGTAGGGGCAACTGGATCCCCTATAGACAACTGTGTGGCTTGGGTCCCAGACTCAGTGACTTGAGAAACACACTGGCCATGTGTGTATATATCTAAAATCTCAAAAGGAGAAATGGAGAAGGGATTGCAGTATGACCGCCCCCCCATCCCCAACTCTAGTTCCCCCCTGCTGCTAGTACATGTGCCCTTTGGCAGATTGGAGGAGGTTAAAAAAAAAAGTAAGGTAGGAAATTTCCAAGTTAAGGACCCTAAGGTAGCTTTGAAACTAGTGGTGAGCTCCTTTCAAGATAGTGCTTAGTACAAACAGGACTGAAAAGAGCTTTTTCGTTTGGCTCTAATTCATCAACTTTTGATTGCTAGAATTGTAACTACACCTGTTTTACAAAAGATTTATAATTGCCTTTATTCTCACCTTTCCTGATTATTTCTGCCATTTTTCATACTCTGCTATTGAGAATGTGGGTCAGTTAAAGTAAATGCTTTCCTAATTAGAGAAAGGAAAAATTATTAGAGGTGATTAACTTGAAAGAAATTCATAGTTTAATTTTAAATTTATTGCCTTTCTTCCAGAATCTTCAAAGTAATATCATTATTCACTCAACAAGCACTTGGAATATTTATAATATAACAGGCATTGATTGAATCTGGCACTGAAGAGAGCAGTGCATACGACAGGTGTGGTGCCTGCTTTGGGAGGCTTCTGTCTACTCAGATAGCACTTTTTACAGATTAATGGGTTGTCTTTCTGGGCATTTATATGCCTAGTAATTGCCACTGTGAAGTAGCGTTTGTATGCAGAGGACCAGTAATGCTGGTAACTGAATTTACACAGTAAAATGTGAGTTCTTAGGGGCTTTCAAAGTAAAAATTAAAAGAACTTATCTTCATTCCTTCCCAAAACCCATTCAAAGTAGTGATAAAAAATCTTACAGAGATAAAAAATGACAAGTAAATCTACAGAACAAAACAAAATTCAGAAACAAACCCGCAGATATAGTTCTCTGATTAATGCAAAAGATGATGTTGTGATATTTTGAGAAAAGAATGGTTGGGCCAGCTCTATAGTCTTGTGGTTAAGAGAACTAGATGACACATGGCTGGCCGCAGTTCAAATGCCAGCCCCAGCAGCTTGAAAACAAGCGATGTGTATGTGTGTCTGTGTGGGAGTACATGCACACACGCACATATTTGCTCAAAATACAAAGCAAACAAATAGCTATGCAGCTTGACTAGCCATTGGTGAATACAAATTCAAATCACTATGTAACTCCATTATACACCACCAGAATGGCTAAAATGAAAAAGACACCTAGTATCAGTTATTGGTGAAGATATGGGTCAACTGGAACTCTAAATTGGAATAACCATATTGGAAATAGCTTTGATAGTATTTGCTAAAGCTTATTCTCAGGAGAAATGAGCCAACCAAAGAGAAAAGGCCTACATATAGTAACATTTATGGGTGAAATTGCCAGGACTTTGCCCATTAGCTACCTGGAAGCCCATTAATGCTATTTGGACAGCAAAGAGAATCAAAGATTATCAGGTATGTGATAAAGACCAACAGGCAAGCTGAAAAAGAAACAAGGAGGAATGTGAGTAGCAAAAGAGAACTTCACAAAACAATAATATGTAAATTTAGAGAGAAGATATTACATCCATGCCACAGTAACAAACTTAAAGAAATGTATTTTTAGGAATTATTAACCATGTTGAAAATAAAATCCAAAAATTGGAAGGTAAGAGTCAGGCAGTCTCACAAAGGATAGAACAAAAAAGATTAAAACTGGGACAGAAAAAAATAAGAAAATGGTACGGTTGGTCTAGAAGTCTTATCTGTTGAGTCAGAGATCCAGAAAGAACAGTCGGTGGAAAATTGTCAAAGACAGAAATCAAGAGTTCCTGAACAGGACTCAAATTTTAAAATTTAGAAGGCCTTCTGAGTACCTACCCAGTACAGAGCATGAAAATAGACTACCCTAAGGAACATCTTGAAATTCAAGAAGATCAAAGTTAAGAGCAGATGTAAGTCTTTAGCCAAAGGGAAAAAAAGTATAGTCATTCCTTACTTAACCACCTACCTGAGAACCAGTTTTTCAGCTCCAGGAATCCCCTTTCTCAGTCTGCGAGTCATTCCTGCATTTCAGTTAGTATTCACTACATAAAGTGCAAGACTACATATTTTGTCCACAAATTTGTAGTTTATTGTGCACCCATAGTAATATTCAGAATAAATGAAATGATTATGCCAGATTTATGATTGTGTTGTGGTGTATCTTGGCGCTTTCCCACACTTAGCGAGTGCATGTTTTTTTGTATGGTTAGAATCACGTTATTTTAGTGTGGTGTCATATGATACCTATTGAAAAATACATACCTATAATGCCACAATACACCACAAAACATCCTCCTCTAAGCGCCTCACTTGTCAGCCAATTCTCTTAGCGACCTCCTTGTCAGTCTAAGTGAGGAGTGCCTGTCCATGCGGAAGATGGGTTGTCAGAATGGCAGTAGTCTTCTGGCATCCGGAAGACTGTGGAGCAGTGCCTTCAGATTGCTGGAGGGAAACCATTTTTCATTTTGAGTTTTATATCTATACAAACTAAGGAAGTGTGAGATTAGAATACAAACTTTTAGACATACCATTTTTCTAAGATACATGCTTTCCGTGGAGCCTTCCTCAGGAAGCTACAAAACAAGATGACTCTCTGAAAAAGAGGAAGCAGAAGAGAGGTATAGGGATTCACCTGGGAGAAGGGAAAGGGAAGTTCCCAGAGGGCAGCCTCTCAGCAGGTCTAGAAAGGATGGTACTCAGATTCAAAAGGGAGAAACAGTGTTCCAGGAAGGATTTTGTCAAGAGAAAACACAAACACAATACACTTTTGCCTAGTTTATTTTTGTTACATAATGGCCGACTATAAAAAACACAAACACATTACACTTATGCCCAGTTTATTTTTGTTACATAATGGCCGGCTATACTGAAAAGAGAGCTACAGTTCTATCTGAGAAGTTAGGGATGAATTAGAAATAAGTATAGAAAATCAAGTAAATAGTCACAGCCACAAAAGGGGGATAAATTACTCAAAGGAAAATAAAACTTGTATTATATCTATCTATCAATATACCAAATACACTATACTCAGTTCTGGAGACATTTAAATAATTAGAATGAATATTGACTATTAACATGATCAAAACCTAAAAGGTTAAAAAGATAAGGCAAGGTTGTGAGGCTGGTGAGAGTAGTGTAGGAGTCAAATCTTTGTACTCACAGCAGGAAGTCCCTGTATAAACATCACTCTGAACAGGGGCTGGCAGGTGGCGTGGTGGTTAAGGATGCTGGACTCCCACATGGCTGACCCCAGTTCAAGTCCTGGATCTGGCGACTTGCTTTTTCACTCTCTCTCTTGCGCACACGCACTCTGTCTCTCCCTGGTCAAATTAAAATGAATAAAGTTAAATAAAATAATTCTTTTTTTAAAGAAAAGAACTTTTCTCAATTGTGAGGCAGATTCTCTGGAGGAGGGCTCCTGAAAATGAGTTTATGGTCACCCACCTAGGAGTCTGATTCAGTTTGTCTGGGTTGGGCCTCAGAATTTGCATTTCTAACAAATTCCAAGGAACACACAGAATTGGGGATACCAAAAAGTGAAGGAAAATAGCAGTGGGGTAAAAAACAATTGGAGGGAACCAGCAGTTAGTGTAATGGCTGTCGCTGGACTCCCACGTAGTCGACCGCGGTTCATGTCCCAGACCCGGTGGCTTAAAACTCACGCCGGGCGCGTGTGCGTGCGTGCCCAAGATCCCGAGAGGAGAATGGAGGAGAAGGGATTGCAGCGTGACCGTCCCCCCTGGGGGGTGATTTCTCGCTTTCTGTCTCTATGTTTCTCTCTGTCTGTCTGGCGAGCGCACGCGCCCTACAGTGAAAATTTCTCAAAAAAAAAAAAAAACAATTGGAAAATCTTTGTCTCTATACAGTAGCAATGAAGAATCATTGCATTGATGACTGCTGTTTCATTATAAATTCTTTCCTTTGATATTGTATATTTAGTCCTTCATTCTCTGTACTTGAATATTATTTCAAGTTTTTATGAAACCATATTAGATGTTGCTCACACAGTTCACCTAAAGCAGATCTGTGGGCCTCTCATACAGAGCCCATGTCCTCTTGTTTTTCACAGGGCTCTAACAAAGTAGATGAGCTAGCTGGTGTAGAAACTCAAGATGCGGCCATCTGGGACTATGTAAGGAAGCACAGAATGGCTTCCATTAGAAAGTTGCTGTTCAGCTCAGCACAGCACTTTCTCGATATTTATATGTGATTATATCTGATTGATTAAGCAAAGGAGCCTTCTAGCACAGTGGTTGAATATTGTACACAGGGAGCTGGATCTCACATTGCTGGCTGTGGTTCGAATCCCTGGGCTCCGGTGGATGGGTGATGTTGGGCAAGTGTGCATACCTGCCTCAAATCCTGCCATCTTGAAGAGATGGAAGAGAAAGGGATCATGGTGTGACTGTCCCAATGCGGGAAGGGTGTGTGTGCTGTCTCTCTCTCTCTCTCTGCTTTGTGAAGGCATGTGCCCTCTGGCAATAAAAAGAAAGAAAAGGAAATGTTAAATGGATTTTTGAGATATGTATTTAAAGAAAGTAGAGGAAGTCATGGTATCTTTACAATTCACTTCAAAGTGAAATATGTATCAGTTATATAGAAAATTCCTTTCATGGAATACCTCTTGGCTAGGTTAGGTGTTACTACATTTACGTCTGTGATTTCTCTACTCACAACATGTTCTGTGTGGCACTAGTGGAGACACAAATATGTTCGCTTCCAGCACCCCACCCACCCAAATGGTTTCTTTGAATAACCCATTCTTTCCTCCTTCAGCTCTGCTTCAACTTTGGCAGAAGAAGCTGTCTTGAAGCCCAAGTGTTTACTGACAACTGAGCTCTAAGGGACCGCCCCTACCACTTGTACCTGGAATCGGAATGCCAGCATCTCCAGCAGTCCGTCCTGGAATCCATTTTCAGTTGAATTGTGTTGGATTCAGGAGCTTGTCTTTTACTTGTAGGTAAAAGAGCTTTACCTGGGTTTGACTTAAACTCTGTGAAAGAAAATAGCCACATTTTTCCGTCCAACTGGAAGGCTTATTTACAGTGCATATCTACCCAAATGAGGATATCTGGTCTTCTACTGTCTGTGTTTTTATTGAAGTTGCAAATTCCTGAAGCAAGGAATTCACTTTCCCAGTGGCTTCCTTTACACTCTTGGCTCCCCCTAGTGGTTGTAAAGGTTCATGACAACTATGTAAGGAGGCCACCTCTGATGAACAATAGCCTTTTGAATGCTGTTTTCTCTCTAGTATGGGCCAGTGTCCTCAATCTGAATGCTCATTAAAGAAACTGCACTTTTCCATGTATTAGCTTGAGGCCAGGAATTTGGGAAATATGGTGGCTATGTAGGTAAATTTAGTGCCAGCTCTTTTACAGTGATACAGAAAGAAGATTAGAACTTACAAATATCTCTTATTCGGTTGACTTCTTCCTAGACTGACTAACTTAATACTGCAAATTTACATCAAGGCGTAAGTTAAACCTTGAGAAAAACTATGAGAAATCAATTGCCCCTGTTTTTTTTTTTCCTCCTCCCTGTCTTCCCACAGGAAGCATTCATGCACCACACCCAAATTCTGTACCTTTTTACCCTGGGAGGCAGGTGGGTTACTGCTGAGAGACCCTGGGTCATTTCCCTCAGGCATCACACTCCATTCTGAGCCTGTGGGGGATCAGGTCTTTGCAGCCTCACTAAGGAAGACAAATACAGCCATCTTCCACTGGGTGCCTGCTTGACACAGTCTCTACTTTCTCTCAGTAGAAGCTGAGTTAATGTAGAGTTTGCAAAATTGAAAAGCAAAAATTAGCAAAGCAAAAACACCAGAATGGGAATAGGGAGTAGGGATGGGGCAAGGGAATTACTCTAGAGTTCTCTTGAGTATTCCCATTCCTTTTGACCTACGTAAGAAAAAAATCTAGATGTTCAAGTAGTATGTACTCATCATAGTAAAATGGGAAAAGTATAAAAATATCTACCTGTAATCCCAACATTCAGAAATAACACTATTTTAGCTTATAAGTTTAGAATGAATCAGGTAGACCTCAGTTGCCTTGGAGAATGAAGACAGTCTGGACACCATCTCGGTAAAGTTGTTAATCCCTCGTTAGCAGTAACTCATGTTAAGCTATACCTCCTGGGATTTATTCTTTAGTTTTCTGCCCTCGAGTATGTGTATAATTAAGCATTACTTTGTACCTCTCAAAAGAACATTTCAGCTTTGTGATCTTTATAACTTCCTGGTTTGGACCCTCCTGACCTCTTTATGGAATCATCATGTACTCGGGCAAACACACTAGTGTCTGACTGGAAAGCTCAGGGATTTTCATTTTACACTGTTCCCCAGGGGCTGTAGAGATTGGAACCCCTTTTGCACAAAACATTTTTGCTGAAGGAAAGTTGGCATTTTTTGCTGGCTGCCTCCCTGTGGCTGTTGTCCTAATAAGCATGTGAATTTCGAGTTCCTACCAGCTCTTAATTGTAAACACAGTTCCTCACAGCTCTGCTTCTGGAACCAGGGGCTTGACCCAGGACATGTTGGACAGGCATCATGTTTCCAGTGTCCCAACAACCCTAGATGCCCTACAGGGTTCACATTGTCTGCTGTCTGCAGAGACTGTAAGACATTTTGACTTAGAAAGCCTAAATTTCCCATCCAGTTTAGGATATAGCACCATCCTACTAAAAGTTAGTAAGTAGTTGAAAATAATTTATAAGCTATTTGTCTTTGGCATGTGTACCTTGCCAGTTAGAATACTGTTAGCGATTTTATTAAAATTTATTTGGATCTCAAGCTACAAAAAAATATTGCTTTATGTCTTGATTGGAAGTGGTAAACATGGAAATTAATACTAGAATGGTGAATTAGCCCTGGCAGATGTGATACCTGTAAAAAGCGTAAGTTTCCTGTCCTATCTGCTGGTGCCATGCCATAGCTGCTGTCACAGCCCATTCTGTTCTGCTCCCTTGAAGACAGTGGTGTAAGGGAGAGGCAGGGCCGACAAGGTTTGTGAATGTGGCAGGCAGGGAAAGGGCAATGTCTGGTCTCTGTGAGGAGAGAGAAGCATGTGTGAGCCAGTCAGGGATGCTGGCAAAGAGAGACTGGAGATGATCCTGGGTCAGGAGGCAGGCTGGTGACACTGGGGCTCAAGTTGGAGGAGGGGCAACAGGGGCACTGCAGGTTTCCTGACGTTTGCAGTGTGCACTGCTGTGGGGACTCAGACAGGAGAGGATCCCAAATCAGTCCATTTCATAGTCCTGGTGGGGGAGCGAGAGCTGGCTGGCATGGTGGCTTAAAATACACTGTGAAGGCTTCAGTTACCTGCCTAGAGTGGCTTAGCGCTTGTGAGATGATCGGTGATATCCAGCCTCTGACTGTTGTCAGTAGCACCACCTTTGTACACATGGGAGGGGCTTGTGGTTATTTTGTTCCTGCTCCTCAGGAGACACTGCTAAACAGAGGAACGATTGGTTTCTCATGTGTCTACTTCCTTAACAATTTACATTTGTTTTAAGAACAATTCCTTTAAAAAATATTTCTTGTAGTTTGCTATCTTTTTATCTTTAGCTTCATTTGTTTTCATACGGTCACAGATAAGTCTTGTGGACATTTAAGGATGAAAGCCCCACCTTGAGTCTAGATGATGTTCTCTTATGTTTCATGATTCTGGCTAAACGTGTACCTCTAGCTTCTCTTACCTCAGTCCCAAAAGGGAAGTTCCACTGCCCCTTCCACTGCCCCTTGCTAGCAGAATTACTTGGCAGTCACTGCATAAAGGAAAACCTTTAATATTTTCTAAGTAAGTGTCTTGGGGAGCAAAGTTCTTGTCTTCTCATGTAGCAGAGATCAGCAGGCTTGTTCTGTGAAGGGCAGGGTATTGTGTACTTTTTTACTCAGCTCTACTGGTGTCACGCAGAAGCAGCCAGGACAGTAGTACACATATGAGCGTGTCCGTGTTCTGGGAGAATTTTATTTACAAAACAGCTGTTGACCCTTGGTCTCAAGTTTGTAGAGTAGAGGGATGACTGCCTGGGAGGCAGGAAGGGACTCAGACAGCTTCTGCAGTGATCTTGTACTTCTAGATGTTGTGTCCTCGTTCATACATGTGACAGCTGGACAAGATGCTGGTGTGGGTCTCCACTCTGAGTCTCTATGGAATCCCACTGACTTTTGATTAAGCTTATCCTTGGCCATTTAGTTGCTTAGGAGCCAGGACTCTTCTACAGACTGAAGAATGCACATATCTGTATTGTTTGCCATTTTTCCCCCTCTCAAAAATTGAAAGAGTGGTTCTTGAGTGATGAGAAGAAGGTTGTGAACTTTCTTTGGATATTGGCTCCCAGGAGGAGGAAATTTGCTTGGATCTTAGACATTCGCCCTGAGCTCAACTCTGCTGTGCTAGCATGTCATAGAGCTGCGATTCCCAGGTCTGCAGGATAAGATCTGTGAGTTCTTACTGTTTCACATTGCTTAGGACAGCAGTTCAGTCACTGCCCAGGATCACTCCTCCTCAGAGAGGTTTCCGATAGCACAGAAACCTTTTTATCTTCATGCTCTTCTTATCTTCATGTCTGGGTACACTGGACGGTTATGAGGGCCTCACTAACTGTTTTGTTTACTTTTTTAATGTGTAAAGCTTTGCAGTAGCTCATAAAGTGTAATTTATTTTTCTACCAAGTGCACTATTCACTGTGTTTCAGTTTTATATGACACTCATTAGAAGCACTGCACTCAACTGTGAGTTGTTTGTACACTAGATGTGACCCCACTCAAATAAAACTTGTGAGCCACTTGTGGTTTTATGAATGTTTTGGTCTCGGAGCTGTGGTGTACTCGCCGGCCTCTGCAGATGTGTTGGAGCAGAGCAGGGGCAGAGACAGATGCAGCAGCACAGCTCTCAGGGCTCCTTTAGAGGTGTGGGGGGTAAACTGGGGAGTAGAGGCATTTCTGAAGGTCACAAACCCCCTTGCTCCTAGCCTGCCCACCTGGGAAGGCACAGTGGCAATTCCAAGGAGGCAGTAGGAACACAGCTTTAAGCATCAGATCGAGGCCCTGCTATTCAGTGTGTAGGAGGCCTTGAACACCTTTCACAAGCCTGTGTGTTGGTCCTTTAGTCTAAAGCACAGGGAGTGCTTGTCTTGGCATCTGGTAGAGTAGGCAGGTGTGGCCAACTCCTGCCCTTTGCCCCCGCCTCTGCCAGCCCAGCCTTCTCGAGGTTGCGCTGTGCAGTCCCCATGTGGTCCCCATGCACACGGTGCTGCCCAGCTACTTTTCAGGACTTCTGCTGGGCAGTGCCACACATCATGTGGGTGCCGGCCAGCTTCTGAGAACAATTGGGAAAGGCTCCTCTTGGCTCTTCCTCTCCTCTCCAATGTCTGGGGGAGGGACTGGATTGGGCCCTGGACACCTGGAGGTGAATCAGGTAGGAATTTTCTACCAGGAATCTGGGTGCTCCTAACAGGGACTTTTTGGTAGTAAGTAATGGAAGCCACTTCAACTTAAGCAGAACAACTCATTAGAAGGACGGGAGGGCCAAGGATGGGCAAGAATCAAAGTGGGAGGGAGTGTGGACAGTGTCTCCGACAGGCCCAGCCTAGTCGTTACCCTACTGGTCCCTGTCAGACAGGAGCTCTGCCCTCTGCCCGAGTCAGAGGGCACCAGGCCTAACCGTGGAGGCTCAAAAGGAGAGGAAATAGACACTGGGCTGCCAAACAATCACAAAATAACCCAGCATGTCACCCAGAAGGGACTTTCATGATCAGCATCAAGAGAAGTCTAGAGGCGTTAAGAATTGGACCAGTATACTAGTAGGTCCGAGAGCTCACATCGGGTGGTGTGCTGGGGTTTGGCCATCTGTCCCAGCAGACGTTCATCCTTCTGTGCTTAGCTTCCAGGACTCCAGCCTCAGGGGCACCTAGAGGGCATCAGAGCAGCCCTTTGGGGACTCACCTGCTGGTGTGTGCTCTGTCCTACACAGTCCACACACGTGTGTCCTTCACACATCAGGCATCCCAGGCAGGAGTGACGCCAGCAGGTACTCTCAGTCTAGACAATGAAGACATTAGGGCAGAAGTCGTTTTCCAGCTTGCCTGTTTCAGCTCTTCAGTGTGGGGTAAGAAACATGTCCAGGGACCAGCAGTTAGCGTAATGGCTATGTCGCTGGACTCCCACGTAGTTGACCGCGGTTCAAGTCCCGGACCCGGTGGCTTAAACTAACGCCGGGCGCGTGTGCGTGCGTGCCCAAGATCCCGAGAGGAGAATGGAGGAGAAGGGATTGCGGCGTGGCCATCCCCCCTGGGGGGTGATTTCCTGCTTTCTATCTCTCTGTCTCTCTCTGTCTGTCTGGCGAGCGCACGCGCCCTATAGCAAAAAAAACCTCTCCAAAAAAAAAAAAAAAGCTCCCAGAAACATGTCCAGAAAATGGCAGGAACTCACCCCAGGTCATATAGCCAGGGACAGGTGGAAAGACCCCTAGTGTCTTTCAGTGGGTACATGGATTAACAAGAGGTCACGTGTCTCTACATGGAACAGTATTCAGGCATGGGAAGGAAGAAAGTACCAAGAGTTGGGACAGTGTGGGAAGACCTTGAAACCCTTGTGCATGTGAGAGAAGCCGGACCCTAGAACACATGTATGATTTCATCGACATGAAATACTCAGGATAGGTAAATCCATGGAGAATGAAAGTATGTTGGTGGTTGCCAGAGGCTGGAGGGTAGGTAACTGGAGAGTGAGGGCTTCATGGGTGTCCTCTGGCCATTTTATTTCCTTCAACAGAAGGGGGGCTATGAGGGTCAAGCCTTTGGAGAGGGTCCTTGTTTGGTTTCACTTGGAGGTACATAGGCCCAGGTCTCAACACCCTGAGCAGAACTCTTTTGCCCATAACCCTTTGCTGTTAAGGTGGGCTTTGTGGTGTGGCTGTAGGATGGTGCGGGTGTGCTGCTGGTGCACCCATGTGGTACCAAAGTGCCAAGGAGAACAGAGGAAACAAGCCAGTCTGCACCAGAGTTGCCGCCCTGGCTTCTTGTAGACACTTGAAAGTGCTGATAACATCATAGCCACTTCCTCCAGAGCCTTAATAAACCCTGGGGAGCAATCTTTTCAGGGGCAGGTCCAACCTCAGCAAGGCTTGTGAGACTCTAGGACCGCTTTCCTTTCCCTTTTCCCTTCCCTTCCCTTTTTTCTTTCCTTCATTTCTCTCTCTTTCCTTCCTTCCTTCTCTCTCTTTCTTCTTTATTTCCCTTCCTTTCTTCCTTCTCTCTCTCTCTGTCTCTGTCTCTGTCTCTTTCTTATTTTGGCTAGAGGGCACATGTGCTTTCTAAAGACAGAAAGGAGGAGATAGCTTTCTCCTATCCAAGAAAGCACTACCCATGGAGGATGGTCATGCTCCAGTCCTTTCCCTGTATCTCTCTCCTTTTGAGATTTTGGTATTTTGGACACACATATACATGTGCCTGGCATGTTTCTCAAGCTGCTGGGTGCCAGACTTGAACTGTGGGATCAACCATGTGGGATCCAACTGTCCTAACCACCAGGTCATGGAGCCATCTTTTATAAAGGAGCATACTGCTCCAGCAAATGTACGTATAATGCATTTAATTGAGCTCCAATTTGGGGATATTTAAGTTCTTTCCAATTTTTTGTCCTACAGTGGAATGATCTTTGAAAACATGAGTCTTTTTAAATACTTGGACATTGCCACAGCCTCTGAATATTAAAATCCATCACTCACCACAAGAGGCCCATCATGACCAGAGGCCTGAATCTCCTCGCTTCCTCCCCTCCCCCTCCCCGCCGCGCCCTTGACCCTTCCCTGTGGAACAGAAGGGTGTGTGCCCGTCGTGACTACCTGCTTCCCTGGGCACCCCTTCTGCTATGCTGACCCAGTCTCTGCTGGGGCTGAGGAGGAGCGCATGGCAGACCCAGACCCTCACCATGACCCACCCCCCCCCGCCCCGTGCTGTGTTCTGTGCCCCAATCCTGGCCTAGGGGAAGGAAGGGTCTCTGGGAATTCTTGGAAGGGTTTTCCTCTGTGAGTTAAAAAGATAGATAAGAAGATGTCAGCTCCTCTCTGCTAGCCATCCTCTGGTCTGTAGGTGATGCCTGCAGCTTTGACTGGGGACTTGGGAGACAGTTATCACCAATGTTGAGGATGAGGATGGCACAGCAGAGATGGACGACTGTCTTCCATAATGAAGAATTGAACTGGGGCCCTGTTCACCTGGCAGTCTCCTCTGGATTGCCTTGCTGCTTAAGTCACTACTACTAATATTAATAGTCCTTCATCCCAAATACTACTACGTTTCCATACTCTGGGCCAGCCCATACAGGGACATCCCGATTTTTGCACCAGACCCACCCCACTTAAATTCAAGTGAGGCCACCTCCTCTGGGGAGCTGTCCCAAAGCCCTGTTTGGTTGCAGGTAGTCCCTTCCCCCAGCACTGTCACTGCTTTACATCATGAAGGCTGCAGGCCTGGGTGTCCTAGGTGACAGGAAATTCTTCCAGGGCAGTGGTCACATGTCCTTTCTCATGGACCCACCTTGGTGCTCAGGAGATGTGAGCCGGGTTGCTGCCTTTGGGCCTTCTATGCTTAGTGTGTGCTGTGGGCTGAATTACATCCTCCAAATCCATACAAGGAAGCCCTAACCCATAAGATGATTGTATTTAGATATTGGCCTTAAGGAGGTCATTGGGGTTAGAGGAGGTCATGAGGGCAGAGCCCCATGATTGGGTTAGTGTCCTTATGGAGAGATACCAGAGAGCTTTCTCTCTTCCCTTTGAGGCCACTGTGAGAAGGTGGCAGTTGGCAAGCCAGGCAGACAGCCCTTGCCAGAACTCTGCCATATTGGCATCCTGTTCTGGGACTTCCGACCTCCAGAACTTTAAGAATAAACGTCAGCTGTCTAAGCCTCCAGCCTTGGTATTTTCTCAGAGCGGCTGAGCAGACCAAGACGGTATGTCTAGCATGGCTGATTTGCCTGTCCTGGAAGTGGGGCCTGGGCTCATGAGCTGGGCTGCCATCCTCCTGGGAGTTGGGGGTTGCACTGAACCTCTTTCCTATCTGGACCTACCCCTCACACAGGCCACCAGGTGGCCTGCACAGCCTGTTCTGGAATGTTCCCTCACCTGCTGAGGGTCCACCCAAAGCCAGCAGAGCTCCAGAGACATCCCAGGCAGGGCTTTCTTGCCACTCGTGGCTTCTAACACCTCTTGGGATGACGGTGACTGTCAGGGCTATCCCAGGTCAGATGCCCTCACCCTGTTCAGCCTCCAGAGGCCAGGGCTTGGGTCTAGGTGGCCATGGTTCTGGTCCCCTAGGTCTTGGGAATGTAGCTGACATTCTTAGAGCCCTGTGCATCACAGCATGCTCCCTGGGCTGAAGCAGAGGTGTCCTGTCACAAGGATAAGAGCTGGCCAAGGAACAAGGGCTGGATGGGAGTCTGTGCAAGCAGAGCTGGAGTCAAGAGAACAGAAAAGAACGAGGTGATCCTGAGGCAGAGAAAGGGTCTTAAATGACGTTCCTGACAGGAAAGGCCACAACTGAACATGGAGGAGAACAAGAGGAAGGGCTGCCTGGGCACCTGCTGCAGGGGTGGCTTCTGGAAGGGGCTCAGGGAGTCTGAACTTCCCACACTACTCCCTGCCTTTGGCTGAAGCCCGGAAGGGCCAGGTCAGAGTGCCAGTGTGGCTGTGGGGGCTCAGACTTGCCCACTGAATGGCCAGTCACATCTCTGTAGGCAGAAAGGAGGAACGTGGTGTGGAAGGACATAGAGGAAACCCATGACAGGGCCGCGAGGGAACCAGATG